GGTTTTCGATTTTGCGGATTAATTTCCAGCAGATAGCGCCAAAAGTATTGTTGTTCAGGTGTGCGGGATGCTGCTTCGTCGAACAATGTTCGCAGCACATGTTCGCCAGCGTCATGCAGAGCTTTGCCCTCCCTCTTTATCAACGGATGATGATTCCGGACGGCATTCTGGGCTAGAATCGCCTGATATAAGTCGAAATCCAAAGTTAGTTATTTTTTGCAATGTGTAAATTCATTGCTGAATTTCATTACTTCCAGTTTTCCATTCTCCCCAAAGTTAATGTCTCCTCCAATAGTCAAAGAACCTATAAAGCTGACAATAAGTCTGGTAGGCTTTCGAATTTTCTCGTTGCGGAGTGATTGTGCTAAATTTAGAATGTTCTAGAAGGGGCACCGAAAACACAAACGCAGGAAGACAAAGCGCGAACGCCGCGGAGAAGACGCGATAGTGACCTCATTTGAAGAAGAGCATCACTCTCCGGCCACACATGAATTAAACAATGAAGATCGCTTTTTCTGGCCCAATGATGACCAACCTGGAACATCCACTCAGACAAGTACACCGAATTTTTTGGGACACGGGCTGTCGCCTTCGGGACGTTTGAAAGTGGGTTTCTTCATTACACTTTTTAGTGGGCTTAATTCATTTCCGTCTGTAGGCCTCCGAAGCCCATGAAACGGTTGAGGGTGTGGTTATGCAGATTTCACCTCGTGTTCATGCTCGAGAGCTAGAAGAGTCATCCGATGAGGATACAAAGAAGAGAAGGAAAAGAAAGAGCAAGCGAAAGAGCAAAAGGTCAGCTAGATTTTTTCTCATTCTTTTTTTGTTTACTATTGAAACTAGTTCCTTTTTTATCTTCTCTGTTTTAGAAAGGAGCGCGACATCAATACAATGCCATCCACCTTACGATCACGCGTATTACCTGCTGTTGAACCACTTCGGCTTGCCATCACCCCAGAAGGTGCTCGTGTAATAGGTGAGCCAGCTGGTACGTTGTGCTTTGGTGTTTGTGTGTATTGTTTCTTGATTTTATTTAGACGAAGGAAACAGGTTTTATTCCTGAAATTTTCAGAAACCCCAAGAGATCGTCACTCTCCCAGAGGGACGTGCCGTCAAGCCAGTCAAATCGAACGGAATCGCCCAGAAACTCGATCTTTCACTCATTCACAACAAGCTTCAACAAGAAGCGCTTTCACGGATTTGATTCAGTCCTTTCCTGCGACATCTCGTGTCCTCCCAACGCCACAGTCATTTCACCACTTCACCTCCCATCCCACAACATCTAGTGGAACAGCATATGAAGCAAGTGAAGAACAAACTAAAACGCTTACTGTAGGTCAACCTGCCAAGAGAGCAGAGCGCGGTGAAGCGATCGAATCGTTATTGCCCCAAAATCCTCCAATAGCAACGGTCCTCACGCCCTCGTCGTGGGTTTACTCGCAATCTCAAGTAACCACAGAGGTTCCCATATTGCCTACGTACAACACTCGATCCGTACGAAAAGCCGCCGTTGAAAATGCTTCCTTTCGTTCTGAAGCGATCCCGTTTGATCCGTTTATCAAGCCGAGTGCGATACTTGAGCCGGAAGGTGTAAAGCCTGTGGTCAATGATAACAGTTTTCAAGGACTTGTTGATCCCGTTTTGACTGAAAATCGTAGACCAATTTTACCACAAAGAAAGACCAGACAACCATCAGGGTCTCAGGAATCCTGGGAGCCTCTTGGTATAAAAAGTCCCACCTATGGAATTGTTTTGCCGGTAGCCCCGAGACAGGACAACGATGCCGACGATGCTACGGTGGCGTTTCTTACGTCATCCCCTGAATTGCTGTCGGAAGATGACACTTGCCCCATTAAAGAGGAGGTTGAAGACCTACAAAGTGTGTTAGGAGCATCACCTACAAGGTTATTTCGTCAGAAATTTCGGACGGCAACGAGCGCTACGTCTGAAAGCACAGATACCGATCAAAGGACGATCATAGATGTTGAAGAGGAACAAGTGGAGCATAGATCCAGCGATCGTGACTCGGAAATTCTGTCATTGACGAAGAAGTTGGCTGCCCTCTCCCAAGAACAACTGGAACAACGAAAATTGTCGATAGATTTAACTAAAACGTTGCCTGAAGTTGTGGAGGAAAACGCCTCAGCTACATTGGAAGCCCCCATGAAAAGGCTCGAAAGCGTGGTGACTACTCTGCCATGTCGTCCTATCCAGGAAAAAGAAGTGGAGATTTTCAACCCGCAGGAAAGTAGAGAAGATCTAGTCTTCACCCCAGATACGCAGTATATCCCAGTTCTAGACGGAACCTTTGATGACCTCATGAGAGTAGCGCGGCTAGAGGAGTACAAGCGCCCAGAACTGGCTATAGAAGTTCTAGCGCATTCTGCTGTGGATCGGGCCAGTTTAGAACGAGAATATGAGAATGCGCTGGAAGAGGAAGAGGAGTTTGTGCCATCACAACAGCTTGCGACAAGCATTAATGCTTTGTCAATTGGAAGTGAGAGGAGCGAAATGCCAATTGATGTTTTAGTCACTACAAGAACTGAAGACAAGCCTTCTCTAGCTGTTTCGAGTGATCAGAACGTGGAAGCTACGCTATCACCTATTTCTTTGATCGGTTCTCGTGCAAAAATGACCCAGTATAGAGAAGAGGAGGAATTGAGCTCTTATGGAGAGGATTACTCAGCGGATGACGACGAGCTTGTGGATCTCCATGAGAGTTCATTCTCTAACTACCATGAAATGGAGCTGCAATCGCAGTATGAAGAATCTTTGCGACTACAACCACCATCATCAGTGACACCTACTGAAAGGCCTTCATACTCGGCGACTCCAACTCAGACTGAATTTGTGCGTCAACAAATTATCGCACAGGAAACATCTCAAGCATCGCTATGGGTTTCTCAGCCCAACTTTACGATTCAGTCAGCTCCTCACGAACTAAGAGTCCAAACTGCCTTTGAAGGCTCATCCCAGTTTGC